AAGGAGAATTGAAGCTGTATTAAAGGCAGGTGGCCGGACGTCTTATTAATAAACAAATCTAATTTATTTTTCAGATGTTTACATTATTTTCACATTAGTCTATGTACTATACAAAATGGAAAAAGAGAGGCCGAAGGTATTTTATGAAAAAAAAAAAAAAAAAAAACGCGGATAATTTATTCGAGAGAAAAATTCATTAACAACTTCACGACATGCCGCTCGGTCACATTGTTTCCACATGAAATTTTAACACATTCCCCATTCACAATAGATCCTAATTATACTCGGCGTTTATTAATTCGGTCTTGCAACGCACGCGCCTCTCGTCCGAAAATGTCTGACGAATTATTGATATCAGTCGCAACAAATTCGCGATCGATACGACAGTCGTATTACAAGCGATTCCATGCATGATTTGATGATAAGTACAAATAATGCACGAGTGGAAATACATTATAATAATGCAGCGAGTGCGTTAAGCGTGCGACAAGGAACAGCAATGTCGATAATTTGCATATGATTCCATTGATCAATGATTATGGCAATACTTTAATCAAGACGAAATCAAATAATCCTGTACAATCTTAGGACGACACACGTCCCTAAGAGACGCCTAAAAACGACTCAAAGATCTTATTTAGACATCTTTAAAGTATCTTTTTGATATTTCCACCCTTTGACATTTCTAGCAAAATGAAGGGAAAAATTTCAATGAGACGAAATTCACAATCGCACGATTTTCTAAAAGGAGCAAATCCGACAAGAGCAAAAGGGATGAGGAAATTTTTTTCCAAAGGCCACCGATTTGGCGATTGAATTTCATTCGGGATTCATAGGGGCGAGGGGATAATCGGGGCTAATCTATTTCGAGTTTCCAGCTAGACATCGTAGACAATTAGACTGACCGGATTTGAATTCGATTCGAGATTCGAGCGCGACTGAGAGTGCAGGTGCGAACGAGAGCCCAGGATTGCAGCCCAGCGGGCGGAAGACTGATTGGCCGACCCAGATGCATACCGTTATCATAAATCTGCTCGAAATCTCCCGCACAACCGCGTAGATATATATTACTACGCTTCTCTCGCGCCCACCAACCCCCCCCCTCCCACCCCCTTAGCTTAGGATCCCCGAGTCTGTGCATTCTTCATCGTCGTATTTTCGCGACGACCAAAGAGAAATCACGTCACGTGGGCGTCTCGGAATGAATTAATGTCCGGTATTCGTCGAGCACGATATTTCAGGTGTCGCACTCGCGTTTAGATATCTAACGATGGCCACCGAAAAGGTGGTAACTAGGTCGCCTTCGTCGATCTATAAATTCAGATAAATATTAAAAAAAACTTGATGTATCATTAACCATAATATACATAATGTTAATTTGCCCTTAAATATAAAAGAACTCAGTTTTGAGAATTATATTACGTTGATTAAAAAAATTATCAGATTAAGAATCGACGATAAGAATTAAGATTGACATTAACGGTGATGGTGATTTCATAAAAATTTTAACAGCGAACTTGTATATAACGTGCCCACATCGCATGTTTGGGAAAAAATTGAAGAGAGATCTACAACATTTCGCATAGATTTAAATATAAATTAAACGCCAACGTGTGCGCGAAATTCATTATATCTTGAGAGAGAGAGAGAGTAAATCTTGACACGATCGCGAAAGTAAAAGACAAATAATGTGCGATAGAGAGAAATTCGAAATATATAACAGACATTGAGTATCTCTCGGGCTTGTTTACCTCGCATAAATACCAGCATAAATGTGCAAATACGTATTTTCTATAAGATTGTATTTCATTCTCAATTACTCGGATATTAATAGAGCCGTGTTTCCGTGCCATGACAGCTAATAAAACTTCGAAACGACTTGAAGCGTTTACTAGCAACGTCTTGCGGATATCCAACTGTTCGTATCTCTCCTGACACGTGACTAAACGTTATAGTAGTAATATAGTTATAATGTTAACGCGTCTTAAAAAGAAATTTGACTCATTTTTAAAACAATTTGCCGACTAATTTAAAGTGACGCGTCTTTAAAACTTTAAATAACAATCTTATTCCAATGTTAAATAAATTGACTTAATAACACACACATACAAACAAAAAGAAACTTTTTAAGATAAAGATTAAATTGCTCAGAAACATCCCTTAAAATCATTTATATATTTACATGAAAATTTCTGTAATTCCAGAGGCAATTTAAATCTTTTTAATTTCTTGGTGACAGATTTTATAACAAGTGTAATTTTTTTCTTCTCTATAAATCAAGTAATATTTTAAGATACACGTATAATTAAAATAAATATACGGAATATACGGAATCGAGTGCATGCTTGTACATAGTAAAAAATAAAATGTCCATTATAATATTTTTCACGTGTCCCAGAAAGTCCACTCTAAATTTTAAATAAAAATAACTCATTTGTCATGTATTACTTATTGACAAATTAAAAATGTTAAATAATTGACATGATACTTTATTTTTGTTATTGATTGTAAAAATAACATACAAATTAATTAAAAATTACATAAAAAATAGTTATAATAACTCGTAAAAAATCTTAAGGATTAACATATAATAGTAATTATTTTAACTTAAATTATTTGTAATAGAAACATTTAATGTTAGTAAATTTGATTATTTTTGTATGTCAAAGTTTAAAATTATTTAAAGATTTACTTTAACTTTTTTTAGAATGTTAAATTGATTTTGAGACATGTTAATTATTTAAAATGATTATGTTAAAAATACTCAAAATAATATTCCATTTCTAAGAGACATGTACAAAGTATTAAGTTATAAAGTTGACATAAATGTAACATATGAAAACATTATAAAAATAATAACATATCAGTTGTATGTTAATTTTACATTGAAATATTAATCAAAACGTGGTAACACAAGAAAATTGTAACATATGGACGCACAATTTTTTACTGTGTACTTCTGACAAATGAAAGGAAATAATACATTCACTGATACGCTTTTATTCGCAAGACGTTCACGCGATTTGCGAATTTAATCTCTACATTTTTTTTCTTTCCGCGTAGGATATCATTTAATAATCGAAAAATAAAAAAGCCATTCGCGTTGCTTGTGAAAAATTCATTATCGTGGTGAACGAGCATAATCCAGGAGCGAATGCTCCTATTTGTTGATCAATGAGAATCGATAATTACCTGCCGTGTTATTAACAACGATCGTGCATTCCCGATAACCAACCCCGTTTATATATCGCGTGAGAACGATAAATTTTCCGAAATGAACGCTTCCGCATTTGCCGGAATATGGTCCGATGATAATGCTAACGAGCGAAATAAAGTCGAATTAAAATATAATATGGACCGCATTCATTGTTCCGTACCTACACAATGAAATTACAATTGTTAACAGACCCGTGGGATTATATTCTGCACACGTGTAGCGCTTATGTGGGTATAGATTACTCTTATTGTTAGAATTTTACTCCGAAACATGATTCTCGTTAGAGCCCGAAATTTCGATCGATAATTTCGAATACAGGTGAAATATGTATCTCGAGAAAAGTGTATCCGCTATAGAAACATTTATTTTATTTTTTAATTAAATTTATACATATATGTCCCTAATATCAGAACGTAAAAATATTTTTTATTCGAAAACATGAATGAATTGATGGATTTAATTCATTACTTTCGCAAATAAAATAAAATCACTCGCGTCTTTTTAATCATATCTTTTTGGGTCATCTTTTATACGTCATTCAAAATGAATATATACGTTTAGTAGTGAATAACTGTCATTATTTGTGGAATATAATTTGTTTATCAAAATACGTAAAAAATTTCATATTTCCACAAATTTTGTCAACAGGTGACGCAGACGCAAAATAAAAGCAATACTGTTAAACTGAAAGAGCGTGCGTTAATTATTGTTCTCAAAAATATATGTGTTTTATCGCAATTCTATATATCTGTAATAATACTTTGATTGAGAATAAATATAAGCGAGAATAAAGAACAAGAGAAAGCAAATAGAAATGGCGTTGAAAGAGCGAGACGTTTTGCAACGTGACTTTTGCGTACCAAAAAAAAAATATTTTCTATTGCGTCGTCTTTCCATTCATTATTGTTAAGATTATATTAACTGTACGGTGTAACGATACCAAATTAATTAAGATCGGCGTACGATAAACGGGATACGACGTTGTCCGCATCGCAGCGCGTTTATCTGCACTCACTCATAGGATATTCATAGGATCTACTGACATTAAGGATAAGACGATAATGTACGGTAACATTACGGTGGATTTCGAATTAATTCTTAAAGAATTAAACGATAAAACTTGCAACTTAATGAATTTCTCAGTATATGTCTGCAATCATGTATTATAGAAAAGAAAAATGATTCGATTCAATAAAAACTTACGAAAATATTTGTGTGCAATTATTCATCTCTAATGAAAAAAACAATCACCGGAATTGTATACTCGAATGATCATAAAGCATTCCTCTCCTTTTTTTCTAGTTTACGGCGCCAGATGAGTGGTAATAAAGTATTCAATGTAATTTGCACGACAAACAAAAGTGGTGATGAAGTGCATAACGAAAGAACGCAAAAGCATAAATATGGCTTTACAACGCTAGAATGAAAAGTATAATTGCACTTTATTATAAATCGTTTCAAGGTCCCTTTAATCATTGCGCATTGCTTTGCTTCCTAATCTTAAAACGAACGCAATTACGAATAATTATTTGTCGGAATAATTACCAATGTATCATAAAAATCTGGAAAGTTCATTTATGAAAATCTAATTGTTTATATTAACTTTAATCATCCTGAGCTTTTATACTAACGATTCCTCCTTCACAAATTTATCCTATACTTAAGTATTATAATAATAACATGCTCCATATAGATATATTCTTATTTATACATATATGTATATATATAGATATATATATATATATATATATATATATATATATATATATCTCTTCTATATATATATATTTATGTTTATATAGAGAACCTTTATAAGTGTAACAGAGAGGCTCTTAATTCAAAGCTGCAAAGGGACTCGATAACATTTAATTTTTTTACAATAGAAATGCGTGTTATTTCTTTCTAACACAAGTATTATCCAAACTCTTATAAAATTGCTTACATAATTATTCTATTAAGCAGAAGCTGATAGCAGCACTTGCATAGCTTTTTACAGCTCAAAGATAGATAGTAAATATCCGTTTTTCGCAGTCACTTTGCAGCTATTAATACAGTATTTTATTTTCAATGTAAGATAGATCTAATAAATTTAGTTAACAAAAAATATATATAGTATTTTTTACAGTACCATTATTATATTTTAAATAAACTGTTATCTGCATACAGAATGCATGCGCGTAGGTTCATCCATGGCAACGTTAAAACTAGATCACTCTTCCCGGAGCACGGATAAACATTTCTTGAGCAATTCCGCGTGCGACTGTGAACATATAATGTAAATACATTCTCGATATATATGTTTGCAATATTTTCGTGTAATATTAATTCAGCTTAAAAAAAACAAGAAGCTACACTCACTTTAGCATGTTTTATTTCCAGTTCTGTTAGTTCAATGAGATTCTTTTTAAACGCTGCTACTCGCCTAGTTTTGAAATCTAATAATTCTAAAAAATTATTGCAAGTATTAATAATACTTTAAACAATTTGAATAATCAATATCATTTTATAAATAAAAAAACGAAACACACTTTGCGTATGTACTTTGCGATAAAAAGTAATGTACATTTATTATTTGTCTTTATTCTATATTCCTACACCTATTTTCTTACAGAATGATATTGATTACATTATTTCTAACTGAATAATATACATCTATTTTTACTTATCTTCTTTTTGTAATTCTATTTACCTTCTTTTCCTTTATCAGACATCTGTTCAAATTTCTCACATGCCTCACTTTGTGCTTGTTCCGCCTTGATATAATACAACACAAATTTAAAATATCACGAAATATATTAAATATATTTTGTTCATTTAAAACTTTCAAGATGCAATTATATAATGTAATATTTAGCATGTCCATCAGCAAACCTCAACAATAATATCTCTATTATAAAAATATTATAGTCGCATGATAAATGATATAATTATTGCAATAATATTCAAGTGCATGCAACTTATTCATGCATTGACAATAACTTTTGTGCTACAATAATTAATTTGTGCTGATTTATCTTTCTGTTTGAAACGAAATTATTTCACGTATATATTTTACATATTAATTATTTATCTGTATATTTATCTGTATATGAGAAAATTTATCTTGTAGAAATTTTGTAAAAATATATGGTTTTCAAATAGAGGAATTATGAAATTAATTTCTAATATTATTTAATAATAAACTTATATCATATAATGTTATAAAACCTAGTATTTCTTTAAAATGCTTTTATGTAATATACGCGTAATAAATCTTGATCAAATTACTTTTGATAAATCTAAAAAAAAAAGGGTAAAAGGGGAGGAGCTGATCTAAACAGGATCTATATTTTTTAAGCACTACTGCAAAAAATATATGACAAACAATATATGACACACCTCAGCAACCTCCAGTGCCTTGAAAAGCAAGAAAAATTAAAGTTCTGATTAGATGCTATTCATGGCCATAACTTGATGATAGTATCTAATAACTGCAGTTTAACTGAATATGATATTAATGTGATTTTAAAAACTAATATTATTGTATTTATTATATGTCAATTTTGCCCTACTCCTCTCTCTCTCTCTCTCTCTCTCTCTCTCTCTCTCTCTCTCTCTCTCTCTCTCTCTCTCTCTCTCTCTCTCTCTCTCTCTGTATGTTATTTTATAATAAGAATTACATCTGGAGGTATATTGCATGAATATCAATTTGCAAATTATAAGAAAAAAACAATGCAAACTTACCGCGTGAACATCCTTATTTTTGGCACGAGCTTTTTCAAGAGTACGATTTGCAGACTCATATTCGTGTAAAGCTTTCAGTCTTCTAAAAAGAAGCCTTTTAGCTGCAGCTGTATCTCTCATGTAATAACGAAGAGTGTCTGATAATTTTAAATCTTCATCTGATGCTACCCGTCCTTCAACTTTCTGCAAAAAGAAAGAAAAATTTAATAATAAATAATAAAGGCAGATTTGAAACTTAATCACATTCTATAAAATATTCTTACTCGTAATTTCTCAAAAGTCTCAGCTATTTTAGTTAAGAATCTTTCGAGTTTTCCAGTATCTGTTGTAGCTAATTGTAAAAGATTGGTGGAAATCTTTATATATGAATCTGCCACATCTTTATGTTTAGCCGTCTGACGATCAGCCAACCTCGTTGCTTCTTTTAGATTATGGTGATAAGTTTGAAGGAATGTCATTTCTTGATCAAAGAAATCATTCACATCTTTCACCGTAGCTGATAAGTAATATTCATCGGTAGTTTTGGAAAACGATTTTACTAGACCACCAAACATTTCCATTTTATTCTTCCCTGCAAAAATAAACAGAATAAATATTCTACATCTATCTCCAATTTATGTTACACATTATGCAAAATACAAATGCATAGGGAATATTACCTCGTACACAAAGATCTTGATCATATTCCAAGAATACCCTTAGATTATGATCGTTCCGAAAGACTGGATGATGCGCCAATCTGGTCAGAAACATTTCATGCATAGCAACAGTTTTCTTAAAAGTGGCCAAGTATTCCCTGCAAGATAATGAATATATTAAAATTAGATTTTTAAATCTTCACAGTTAAAATGTGATAATAAATATAGTATAAATCAACGTATACAAAAAACTTACGCTTCCAACTCTTGCTTCATCTTATTAAACTCTTCACGCGTCATGTTTCCCTCACCTTCGCCAAGTTTTTGTAACTTTTCACGTGACGCATCAAAGTCCGGTCTTGGTGGACACGGTGGAATCTACCATAATAACATCAATATTAATACTTAAGAGTGAAACGCGAATTAAGCATATGCTAGGGAGCAAAGATTTCACGTACAATATAACCAGCATATTCCTCATTTTCCTCAAATCGATCGTGAAGCCATACAAACTCTTCGTGTTGCCTCACAACTAGATTGTCCGGTTTTTGAAATTCAGGTAGAGTAGTTTTTGTATGTACAGTAAACTTTACTTTATCCTTCTCGCTGAGAGCATCCGAAATGTCCACCTGCAGGGACTTATCTGAGAGATCTATGGTATCGGCATGGATTGTCTGAAAGAAGAGATACGTTGGAGTAGAAGTGATGGACGATGCGACAACAGAAAATTAGACACATTCCAATAATTATAGCAAATACGTGTCACAGGAAGATAAGATAGCGAGGAGAGGAAGAAGGACAGGAGCAACAACAGCATAAATACCTTCTTCGGAGGCACGCTGTTTAAGATGTCGGCAGTGTCACATATACCGTCCTGCAACATTTTTCGCGTAGATTAAAGTCTGCGAGTGTTCAAACAAGTGTTCGCGCGAAGGGGAGCGGGAGACTTGGTGAAAGATTCACGCCGATCGAAGGCAAAGGTCAGACGGATGGATCGCCGGCCACCGATTGATAACAGGTTCCACCTACCATCATGGCGTCCACTGGCGTCTCCTCGTCTCCGCACCGTGTTTGACAGCAGCCCGATTGATGGGATCGTCACTCCGAATAAAGTACGTCGGAGTAACCTGGTGATGCTAGTGGTCGTCTCGGACACGCTGCGCGCGAACCCGTTGCCGGGGTCGACCGACGATGGCACTTGCGCTGGTAAAACAGCCGAGATGCAGTCACGGCATATCTCCGAGATGCAGCGCGACAAGCGACTCGACTTGACTCGGCGCCCTCGACGGTGGCGCGACACGTCAACTGTCAACTCATGGACGTAAGAAATACTGGACAGAGTGTATTGCGGGGGTGAAGCTCAAAGGGTGAGGGGAAAGAAATGTCTACTGCAACGGAATATGAGGCATGTAAGATGGCGACGGATATTAATTTCACGGAGTGTGATATTTTTGAATTTCTTAATATTCAAAAATGATTCGGAATAACACAGCAATTTCAGATGATAGATGATTTCAAGGAATCTCTCATATTTTATTCGATTTACGTCCGTGCGACGTGAAAATAGACGCTAAATCTGATGCATCTAAGATGGCCGCGACAATAAACTCCTTACCCCTCAGATTTCACTCCCCTCGTCTAAAAGAGTACTTTATGCTCTGTCCAGTATTTCTTACGTCCATGATTTATATAGATTCAAAATACATGTACAAAAAAATATTAATTAATCACATCAGCGGTTGAGTCCTTCGAATGCGACCATATTATTTGTACTAGACGAATTATTGATTGATTTTTCCATGCGTATATACTTTTCGAATACTTGCGAATTTTTCGTATATACGACTCACGTGGTGGCCAATCAATTTCCTGCTTCGGCCAAAATAAAATAGCGAGAGATGATTGGCTGGAGGCATTAAAGGTACCTTTATATGGCAGCATCGGGAGCGTCCCATTTGACGTTGCAATTGATCAATTAAGGTGCAATTTCATTGACGCTAGAAACCAGCGGCAAATTAAAATAGACTTTCTCTAGATTTGGCGTCAATAAAATAAAGTTCAACAGTTTCAATTTTTTCAGTGTGTAAAGCGGCCTTTTCATTGACGCTACTTTTTAGCGTCAATAAAATTGCACCTTAACAGTTGGCAGCCCTACGAGATAGGCTGTGCAGCACTGCGCGTATATAAAATAAATTTGAAATCGCTTCTAGCCTAACCATCTTCACGCGATCGACTTTATTTGAATTGCACGGCATTGCATCGAATTATGATGCGGCGCCGATTTTTTCGAACGTAATTCGGGACATCGCGATACTGTATAAGCGTCGAATGAGCACGAATTGTCACGCAAATATGATAAATCACATCTACTCACCGTTCACCGGCTGTTCCACAGGCCGCTCCACTCGCTCGCCTCGGGACGTCCCATTCCGATCTTAATGCACACGATATCATCAACGCGAACGCGCGACACTTTATTCGGCACTCCCGATATTCGCTCGCATCCGATAATCATCATCAAGGGCGCAAATAACGCGACGCGACTTCACTCCATCTTCGCGATCGCGCTATCACTGAACTGTGAAAAATAGCTGTCGCGCACTTTCACCGACATATTATGAAAGTCGCGCGATCATCCTTGGACACTTTCGACGCTCTTTCACTCGCGATATTCGTTTAAAAACGGTTAAAAGACGCGAAAAATGCCGACGTACGACGATCCGTGTAACTGCGTATGACTCCGATTCACGTATGACGCGTATGACGTAGCAGTCACGCGCTAACATGGCGGCCGAACCAGTGCGCATTCGTTTCTGCGCACTGGTTCGACCGCCATGTTGGCGCGTGACTGTACGTCATACGCGTCATAGCTACGTCATACGCGTCATACGTGAATCGGAGTCATACGCAGTTACACGGATCGTCGTACGTCCGCATTTTTCGCGTCTTTTAACCGTTTTTAAACGAATATCGCGAGTGAAAGAGCGTCGAAAGTGTCCAAGGATGATCGCGCGACTTTCATAATATGTCGGTGAAAGTGCGCGACAGCTATTTTTCACAGTTCAGTGATAGCGCGATCGCGAAGATAGAGCGAAGTCGCGTCGCGTTATTTGCGCCCTTGATGATGATTATCGGATGCGAGCGAATATCGGGAGTGCCGAATAAAGTGTCGCACGTTCGCGTTGATGATATCGTGTGAGTTTGTGTGCATCAAGATCGGAATGGGACGTCCCGAGGCGAGCGAGTGGTGCGGCCTGTGGAACAGCCGGTGAACGGTGAGTAAATGTGATTTATCATATTTGCGTGACAATTCGTGCTCATTCGACGCTTATACAGTATCGCGATGTCCTGAATTACGTTCGAACAAATCGGCGCCGCATCATAATTCGATGCGATGCCGTGCAATTCAAATAAAGTCGATCGCGTGAAGATGGTTAGGCTAGAAGCGATTTCAAATTTATTTTATATACGCGCAGTGCTGCACAACCTATCTCGTAGGGCTGCCAACTGTTAAATTTTTTCGATCTAACCTAACCTAACCTAACCTCTCAGTGCTTTGGATGTCGATGTAAACATAAGCGTATGCTGCCTGGATTTTATTATGCTTTCAAAAATAATATTTAATTATTTCATTAGTGTATTACATTTTATTACGTAGTATATTAATCGTATTAAATGTGCGATGTACAGTTTTATACATTTTAATGAGAAGCATGGACGTAAGAAATACTGGACAGAGTGTATTGCTGCGTGAATGAAGCTCAAAGGGTGAGGGGAAAGAAATGTCTACTGCAACGGAATATGAGGCATGGCGACGGATATTAATTTCACGGAGTGTGATATTTTTGAATTTTTTAATATTCAAAAATGATTCGGAATAACACAGCAATTTCAGATGATAGATGATTTCACGGAATCTCTCATATTTTATTCGATTTACGTCCGTGCGACGTGAAAATAGACGCTAAATTTGATGCATTTAAGATGGTCGCGACAATAAACCCCTTACCCCTCAGATTTCATTCCCCTCGTCTAAAAGAGTACTTTATGCTCTGTCCAGTATTTCTTACGTCCATGTGTCAACTACTAATCAGCTGTAGGGAAAAGTACATCGCATCGTGACGTTTCGCGCGCGAAATTTTCAAACCTGTCTTGCTCGAAAATTTGAAAGTTACATCTTTTTCAAACTTACAACAATATTAGATACAAATTCATTTTTTCCATAAATCTCCCTGTCACTTAAATAAAAATACCACTATGAAAATATATAACTTGAGCGAAGGATACAATATTAAATAATATTAAATATTATACTCATTTTTTAATTAAAATTTGCAGTCTTGTATCTTTCGCAGGACGATTGTGTGCTCGTTATTTATATTTTTATTCATATTATGCAGTCCTGAAAAATTTAAAGTTTCCAGCCTTCCATTACATAATGTATCTTAGGATCAAGAATGATAAGTAATGTGCACATATATATTTTCCAATTGAAAAGATATATCCAACCCATACATACAAAATACAAGCGAAATGTACACGCATCGTTTCGCGCGCGAAATTTTCAAACAATCTGCCTTGCTCGAAAATTTGAAAGTTACATCTTTTTCAAATTTACAACAATATTAGATACAAATTAATTTTTTTCATAAATCTCCCTGTTACTTAAATAAAAATGCTACTATGAAAATATATAACTTGAGCGCAGGATACAATATTAAATATTATATTCATTTTTTAATTAAAATTTGCAGTCTTGTATCTTTTGCAGGGCGATTGTGTGCTCGTTATTTATATTTTTATTCATATAATGCAGTCCTGAAAAATTTAAAGTTTCCAGCCTTTCATTACATAATGTATCTTAGGATCAAGAATGATAAGTAATGTGCACATATATATTTTCCAATTGAAAAGATATACCCAACCCATACATACAAAATACAAGCGTCAATATTATTAATGTTGACGGTGTAGAATAATCGCTAGATTATAATAAATTAAATGTATCGAATATATATAATTTTATGAAGCCAATGTACGCCATTTAATCATTACAGTGTACAAGCGCAAAAAAGATATACAATGCTGACACATTCTTTGGTATAACGATTAGATATAAGCTCGTAATTTGAGATATAAATAACACCCTAATACTCGAAAAGCCAATTTTGTACTAGATATAATATATTCATGCTTATAGATGCATCTTTTCGTAATTTCATCAAGAAATGTCAATCTTACTGTATGCTTTTTTGTCAGCTGACAAATCTTTTAATAAATATAATAACGTGCACTACTAGAGCTTATCTCTTATTCATCATAATATTAAGTATTTTTCGTGTCTCATGTCTCTGCAGATTCTGAAATATTTTCATAATTCTTGCAACAAAGACAGGAACATTTGTTAAAATGGAATTTTCGAGCCTTGATGAAATACAGGCAAAATGATATCATTGTTATACTCATGTCGGTATCTTTATCTATGGCTTTAAATATGGCTTTTGTGTTACATAGTTGTTATTAGAAACTTTGTTATAGTTATAATATAAATTGTAAAAATGTATTTTTGATTTGTTTATAACACTAATAATGCCTTTATTTTCAGAAAAATACCATAAATAATGATACCAATTGTTATAACATATGCAATAAGATTTCTCTTGTGTAACTATTTATATAGAATATAAATCCGATTGAATATAGGCCTCCTAACGCCATTGATTAATATATGTTTTATATAATCATCATCTTATACATCAATACATACATATATATAGTGTTATTTTAGATAATTAGGTGTAAATCATCGTCAAATTGGTTTAACTGATACACATATCAGTGTTCATGAGCCACCATCAATAGAATGGAATTTTGATCATTAGTGCACATTACATTACAGTACACAATATGTATTAAACGAATATATAAAACATTAAATAGAAACACGCCTGTCCTCTCCCGCTTTATCATTCCCAAATAATTAATATATTATTTAATACAATTATTTATATATGTCGTGCTAAAATAAAGTGGGGGACAAGCCTGATAGACTTTACAATATAATTCAAGTTAAATTATACTATGGATTCTTAAATAAATGTAATTCTCTAAATAAAAATTAAATAAACCTTAATTCAAATAATCTAATATGTTAAAAGATAAAATTATTACGTGATGTGTGCAAGTACGAAAATGATTATATATTAAATTGAAAAGTATATCTGCTTGCTCTCGAATTAAATTCATCAAAAGTATATTAAAAAATGACGTAACTTCACTTTCATATCTTTAGAAGAATTTGTAAATAAAGACTTTATTTATGCTTCATGATTTTAGTGATTATAACATTTTCGTCTTACAATAATCCTATCTATTTATTACGTGTATAAGATAATTTCAACTAATAAATACATCAATTATCGTTTGTTACCTCATGACACGGCATGCGCAGAATTAAATTGTACAAAGTGTTCAGATTAAAATAAAGATCAGGAGTTCAGGTCAATTCAGATCGGAGAAGGATGAAGCGGTGGACAGATAAGCCCCAGCCCCTAGCAGCACCCACCACCTTGCGCACTACCTTGTCCACCAGTTCCTGCTAAACCTCCAGGACTTGTTGGCGAATGTTGTGGTCCAATCTTAATACCATTTGCCTATGCAATTCAATGTGTATTGTCATATAGTCACAAACATCTTATTTTGTAAATTATATATGTATAAACTGTATTTTTTTTACATAATGTGATATTTCCAAAAAAAATGCTATTATAATGTAAAAAAAAAAGGTATGAAAAAATAAGTAATTATATCTTTTCACTACAGCTTTAATTCTTATACTTTATCTCTTTTTTACAGCAAATATATATATTATAATAAATCAAAATATATATTTTTATGATTGATAGAAATATAAGAATATATTATTTAACATTATATTAAATAATAATAAATTAATGTTATTACAAATAATATGATGAGAATATATAAAATTTTGTAAAGAATTACTTTATGTTTTTATGTTTATGTAAAATTTGTGCAAAATAATTAGAAACATTACTATCATACCTCATTATTGATATCAAAGACTCCCTCCTGTATCTTTTCATATATTTCTTTAGCAGTATTGATGAATGCTTCTTCTACATTGGCTGCAGTCTTAGCACTAGTCTCCATAAAGACAAGACCATGTTCTCGTGCAAAAGCTTCACCTTCCTCTCTCCTCACTTCTCTTCGACTATCCAAATCACTTTTGTTGCCAATTAACATGATAACCATATTGGAATTTGAATGTTGCCTTGCATCTTCCAACCATGTTGTAAGATGGTTAAAGGTTTCCCTACGTGTAATGTCATACACCAATAGAGCTCCAGCTGCTCCTCGATAATATGACCTTGTTATAGAACGAAATGCCTCTTGACCTGCCTATATAACAAATTATAAAAATAATAATTAACAATCATAATTAACAATTAACGTACTACTTAAATAGTAAAATATATATATAAGTATATATATATTTTACAAAATTTTCGTGCTTTGATAATATTTAAAAAAAAGTATATTCTATTAAGTAAAAGTATATTCTATTAAACATGATTAAAAATATTTTTCTCAGTAAGAATTAAAATTTATGCAAGTTTCTTTATATAACAATATATTATTTATATAACAATAATAATATATTAATTTGAATATTAAGTATTAATGTAATACTTGGTTGCAAATTATGACTTCTGAATAAATATTAGTATAAAATGTAACGATATATATAGAATTATTAAAAATAATTACAGTATCCCAAATCTGCAATTTAATTTGCTTGCTATCAATGGTAATCATGCGAGCTCCAAACTCGACTCCTATTGTCAAGTCATGGACTGGCTGAAATCTCTTGTCCGTAAATTGCAGAAGGAGACAGGACTTTCCAACTCCTAAAAATATCATAAATCACAATCTTTGATTCTAAAATCCTAATAAAAAGTTTTAATAAATAATTGTAAATGGACTGTAAAATCTTAATAAGAAATATATGTTCGACAAAATAATAAGAAAATATTCTTATTGAGCATATATAATATATAAACAAAAAAAAATGTTTTTGATTATCTTATCTTATGTATTTAATATATATATATATATATATATATATATATATATATCTATATGTTTCTTGTTATATCTATATCATATGTTATATGTTATATGTTTCTTGCTATATCATATGTTATATCTATTTAACATCGAGTATTTACATATTTACAATATTGCATTAATTTAATTTTTCATATGTATCACTTAACTATAATAATCATCACTCGCAACAAGTCTATGAATAGTATTATACAAAAATAAAATTACAGCAATATTTTCATTTGATAATAAACATAGTATGCAAAATATATATGTGTATCTAATTATGAAATGAATAATTTCATTACTAAAGATACAATTTACAGCTATCATCATTGAAATCAGCAAGACAATTCGTCAAGTCTTACGGAAATTAAACGACGCGCAATAACAACAAATCAAATTACAAAGTGCAAATCACAGATATAAAATTCATCGAAAAAAATGCCAATGCACGCGATGTACATATTTAAAGGAAACGAGCGCGTTTTTAAAGCAAGGGAATCTCCTCGTCAGAGGCAGTTTTCGGAGTAGAAAAGGAGAAAAAGAAAGAAGAAACGCATTTCCTCTCGTGCTTGCGAGATATCGTCGCACCACGCGAGAACGAAAACAAAGGGGCCCTGTCAAAGATGACGTAGAAAGCCACGGGACGAGGGTCCCGTTTCGCGAGGGTGTCCCGTGCGAAATGCGTGTCATTTATTTACCTGTGTCCCCGATAATGATATACTTGAACAGATACGCGTACGACATCTTCGAGATACGCGAAACCGATGGGACGCGCGAGTAATTCTAGCTCCGCGATCGTACACCAGGAAACAGAGTACCCTTCCTCTGTCTTATCTCTTCTGCTCCAACATGACGTCACGGTGCCTCTTCGGCAGCCCTCGGCGAGGCTCGGGTCACCTTCGACTTTTCGATATCCCTTTCGCTGTCACGTCGACTGCTGATTGGCCGTTCATGGAGGAAACTTGACAAACAGAAAGAAGACTGAGATGTCATGATCTGCTTTTAGGTGATCCCTGAAAGCGATACTCCCTCTATGAATATTGAAAACATGGACATGAACTACAAAGTCATTTCCATGAATGTTCTCGGAGGGTAATATATAATGTGCACAAATTCTGATTTTGTTCCGTGCTATGCACGAAATGCCAGTGCTGTATAACAAGATAATCCTCAAAAACTTACCTTTTTAAAAAAAGATAAAAGAAGAGCGCCAAGTTCATGTACTAATTGTATCCAACTGTCATATTATCTACAAAAGTAGTGATATAGATATACAATTAAGAAAACTTGTACAAGTTAAATAGAAATATTTTAATTAAAAACATTGTATCTATTTATCTTGTATAAATTTTTATTCTTAGTTGGCGCAATTTTTTTATATCTCTACTTTTGTAGACAATATAATAATTGAATACAATTAGTACATGAACTTGACGCCTTTTTTTTACCTTTTTTTAAAAAGATAAGTTTTTAAGGATTATATCGCTTCTTTTTTTAATCTAATTTGCTAAGAGATATTATATTAAAAAAATATATATATACATATATACATATATGCATATATATATAGTATACTTAAATATCCAGAGTAAGCTAGATATTCGTTAAACTACAAAGATAAACATGATTTTATAAATTTCACATTCGTCGATCAACGAAATGTATTAATACCATTTGTTTAATAGTGGTTTAATATGCGTTTGAAAATATAATAATGACATTCTAAATTATACATATAATTTTTATCTTCTCTCATATTATTCATATGGAAACAAAGGCTACTATACTGAATCTAGTATATACTAGATTTTACGCATATTGTAATCTTAATAGTTTAACGAATATCTAGCTTATATTGGATATTTAGGATAATGATATTAGCAATGATAACGAATCACGAGCGGTATTTTCAGTCGTCATTGAAAATTGTCTAAGCTCAGAAAGTCGATGATTTCCGACAAAGATTAAAATTCATCACGTATAGTTCACGAAGTGTGAATTCAAGAAGCAGATTTCGGATATTCACTGTAAGTCAGCCGCTCCTCGGGTGATCGGGACGAGATTTAAACGGTAGTGCCGCGAAATGGTGTAGAATTTTATGCAAAAAGAACGAAATCGCTATCACGTCCGGAAGTCGAGATATAAATTGACCGTTTTTCGTCTGCGTGCGGACGGTCGAAATCGTGCACGACGCCGCGCATGTTGTTTGCCTCTCTCGCGCGATATTCACTGTAACGCGGCGAGTAAAATGGCAAGCCGAATGCAATCGTTCGATTAATTCGTTAAATATTTATATATACCGAACGAAAAAGCGAACCAGAATGTAATCGTTCGATTAATTGATTAAATACTTATATATATCGAACGAAAAGATGAATTTTATCTCACAGCAGGCATTTTGTGTTTTGTAAATAAAAAGATAAGTATGACAATGAATATAGAAAAATATAAATATAATAAATATATTATTTATTAAATCTTTGAATTACAGTATTTTTCGCGATTGAATAATTTATTTACTATCAATTTACATACATAAGTATCTTGTTATACATCACTGGTGCTATACCGGCATTTCGTGCACATAGCACGGAATAAAACCAGAAATTGTACATATTATATATTACCCTCCGAGAACATTTATGGATATTGGCTTTGTAGTTCATGTCCATGTTTTTAATGTCCATAGAGGGAGTATCGCTTCCAGGGATCACCTAAAAGCGGGCCATGACATTTCTCAGTCTTCTCTCTGCTTGAGATATTGCTTTGAAGTATACATTATCTCGTAATCATCTCTATCCTCTTAATTTTTTATTTTATAAATATATTCTTCGTAAAAATATACAAGTACGAAATTTATGTAACATAGATTGGAAACTGAGCTTATTAATTTCCTTTGTTTATGAAAATCGGAGTTGAGAAAGCGACGTTTGAGGTGAACTGTCTCGAGAACGATTTAAAGTCAGTTGTCATCTGTCACCTGTCACCTGTCAGCTGTCAGCTGTCAAAAGGAACGAAACTCGTCCCTTTCGGTATATTCGTAATAAAAAGCTGTATGTTTTAAAAATTGCAATTACACTTTTCGTCCAACGATCGTGCGGTGTGAAAGTGTGTGTGAAAGCGAATTTTGCTTCTCGCGGTTGGCGACAGTGTTTCCCCTCCCCCCTCTAACGTTTGGCGCTCGCACGTTGCGTCGGTCGCGCAATTCGGAATTGTTGCAACAAATACGGCGTGTGCGGAGTAACGGACATTTTTCACGTGTCTCTTTGGAAAGGTCAGTGGAGTTCTCATCGGAGAAACTCGCGCAGGTATCGCTCGAGTTCGCGAGCGCGCGCCAACCGCTGCCAACTTCGTGCGGCTTCGCTGAAGATACGACCGAAGAGACGACGCCGTGGAACGTACATCGGCAAAGTGCTCACCGATTAACGTAAAAGCGCGCAAATCCGAGCGAAGGGGAGGCCTCGACAAATTCAGGTAATACACGCCAAGTGTTAATGTCTATTAACGTCTTTCTCTTGATGGAAAAGAAAAAAGATTGACTCGTTCAGGAGCGATAACATCGAACATTAACCTATCTAAAGATCGCTTTATTTAATGAACTCTTCCTCTGTTAGATTCTGTTGTAGCTCAAGGCCGATTTTTTTGCTCGCTCGAAAAGCGAACTTGTCAACATTGATGGCAACAGGTACATCGTTATTTCATGGACTTTAATTCCATTTCGAAAAACTAACCTTTCACTCAGTTGTACATGTATGTATTTTATGTACGTGTACTTCGTGTAATTTTTATTCTTTTAAATACACATTTAAGTGATTTAAGTGATATGGATATTATGGATAACGAAGGAATAATTTTTGTTTATAGTTGTGGAAGTAGTATGAATAAGGAAGTAAGAAAAAAGGATAGGTTAATATTTACTTTATATGAAATATGTATTTAATATTTTTATATCCTGTAAAAAAAAATTGTCTTTGTTGACCAATTTGATGACTAACTCACAGTGCGTTTGTACAGTGATAACTTCCAAGTATAGTACTCCTTATATAAAAGAACTTTGATAAAAGAACTCCTATAGTGACAAACCACCTGTTACATTATATCTTCAGAATAGAACAGATTAAGACATATATGAATTATTCGTTAATAAAATGTGTTAAAATATTTATGCTGGGATTTATTTATTCAGGAAACATATTAATTTGTAAATAACCATTCTGCAATTTTTTTTTTTTAGAGTGATGCATGGAAGAAGATAACAAATCTGGAAAACGAGATCATGGCGAACAGAAGGGACAAACCTGCTGGCTTTGTGAGTAAAATTATTAAACTTTAATGTCAGAATGTTTAATTAATTTTTTAATAAAGATTTAAGGTAATTTATCTTTAAGATAATTTATCTTAAAGATTAATTTTTTAATATCAAAAAAATAAAGATCATAAGAGTAAAATACAGTGAACACTGTATGTAATATATATAGCATCGTACATCAGCTTTAAATAAAGGTATTATTATAAAAATTGTTGAAATAATTTAAATACATATGTGTACACAAAATAGTAAAAAGATAATACAATATTCTGTTTAAAGAAATATCTTTGAAACTTATTGCAAATGAAAAATAATACTCTAGAATTTAACTACACCTTGCTTTAGAATGTATGATTTAGAATGTAATAATGTGTGCTTTAGAATGTCATAATTAAATTATGCATCCTGAAACTGCACACACAAAAAATAATGACAGTAATAATAATAATAAATAACAATAATAATAATGTTTTCGAATAATTCTAGGAAGACCTGTATTTAACTCTGTCATCATTTTTAATTTTATGAATTATAATAAATCAATCAACTCTCACATCTTAAACAAGCAACATATATGTTCAAAGATATATCTTTTTGCACTTCTTATCAGCAAGTATTCTCTAACGTCATCGACAAAACGTTTTGCGACAGTCGTATTGTCAACAACACCGATGCAAGATCGAATGCTACTGATTTCCAATCTTAGTCACACTTATCTGTCAGTTAATGAATGTCATTTGTGCAGTGACTTCGTGATAATTGTGCGAATGCATAATAAATACGCGAATAGATAATGTTATAAATTGAATACGAAAGAAAACAACTTGGAAAAAGTGAAAAATGTCTAGCATTCGAAGAAGAAAAACTTGGTATCGCAAAGTCGAGTGAAAAATGCATGGCATTCAAAGAAGAAAAACTCGGTGTCACAAAGTCGAGGTCGGGAAAAGGAAGTGAAGTAATTTTCCGGAATCTTTCTCGATTTCTCGGAAATCAATCTTGATACAATTATAAAATTCTTTTCGATCGACTCTAAAGAAAATTCGCGTTATAATGTTAAACTTTCGATACATTTTTTAATTCAAAAATAGAAGATGAGTCACATATATAGTCGTCGTATCGCAATAATAAACTGCAGTAATCTGGGAATAGATTTTTTTTAAATATTTCTTAATAGAAGACTTCGTTCTTGGAAAATATACAAAGAGAATACAGAACGTGATAAAACAATGTATTTCTATAGTGATAGAAACGCCATATGTGGGCACACGCCGAGTTTCCTGTTATGTTATCATATTTGTCGCTTTTTGTATCATTACAAGTGGAAACATTTAACGTACTATCGTTTGTGTAAAAAGACTCACTCTACTTTTCGATTACCACACTGCTTTAATTGTTGCTCTGACATGCCAATTTTGCGTACACGTCGCAAAATTTCCTTCACTATCTCTAGCCAGATATCGTTCCATTTATAATTCGATTACCTTCGTGATATAAAACCTGTTATCGTAATATCTTGTTATCGCAATATCTTGTTCAGTGGTTCTCAAACGGTGCTTCATAAGAAATACGTGAGAGAAATTCCACCTGTTATCTGGAAAAATATGATAAAATTAAAAGTAATAAATTAAAGAATTAGGCAAAATTAAAAATATTTGTTCTCTTTCTTTTTGTTTCTTAAATTATACAAGATTATTTAAAAATAATTAAAAAATAATACTGGTGAATTTTATCTGCGATGAAAGAGTAAAAGAAATTTAGAATCGTTGCTTTGTGGTTTAACGCAATCCTCCAGAAAGATATGCGTACTTGATGACACACATAGATATACCAATACATGTATGAGACTCGACCTTAGGCGTAGCATAATTCGAGCCGCGTTATAACTTGCACTTTATATCGGACACGTCTAGAATAATTTAAATCTAGAATGATTATAAATTTTCCATGTTATACCACAGTTACGATTATTAATTTTATCATTGGCGGTCTTTAAGTAATTTTTAATAATTATAATTTGATTCTGAACAATATCGATGGTATGTTGAAAGTCTCTGTGGAACAAAAACTAGGTAACTACACCTTTCGGCACATGTAACATTATGTAGCATTTAGTGTTCAGTGAGTAGTGACAACGATTGATGCAACAGTCAGACGTGTATAAATAATATGTGCAAAGGAAATTGCATTTGATCAATTTCATCGCGATAACCAATACAACTCTAGGCATAAATTTTTTACATAGTTGTGCTTTTTCGAAATAAAATCTGTCGTACACATATATTTTTTAATATTATATCTTGACGATATATTCTGTAGTCATAAAAATGTAACATTAAAATATTTTCTATAAATATATAATAAATATATAAATATAAATAAATATATCACTATAAATTAAAAAATAAATATGAAATAAATTGAAAATAAATTAAAATATATTCACTATAATAAAAATATATAAATATTTTCATTATAAATAAAATAATAAATTCAAAAAATTAATAAATTAATAAATCCAAAAAATAAATAAATTCAATATAAACATACATAAATATATAATAATATATATAATGTTATTCTCTTTTTTGCCGTTATTTTTGTGATTATTCGTGTACTATGAGAATCTCTCAGAATTAAGATATTACTTATGATTAAAGTCAAATCGAAACGTCTAAGCCTTATGTATACATCATATACATCCTAACATCATAACATTGCAGAAGTAGATAAATTTCAAAATCTGACAGACGCAAGCGGTGCGTGAAAACGTGCGTGAAAAGTACGAACGCAAAAGCTCTTAACAGATGAGCGATTTGAGCGTTTCTCGCGTGAAGACAAAGGCGCGGCTTTCAGACACGAAGATCATCCTCTCGGCGAGAGATGCGTAGGTCGGAAAAAAAGGAAAGAATCGGTTCGTACATTCGGCCTCCGTATGTCTGTGTATGCCTATCGGAATTTCGCGTGACACCGTTTCGATCTCTCTTGCTCTTTCGGAAGAGAAGGCCGTTCGGACCGTTGTTGGCGTCATCGCTCGGTTGCTCGCACAAGTGAGATCATCCGCGAGAATTTTTTTTCCGGTTAATCAGAAATATAATTAAAACCACCGGTTAATTCCCGAGGAGCGCGTGAAAAGCGTCGTACATCGCTCATTGTACTCGTAAAGTCGTACAACACTCACAGAACTAAGAAATCATTATTTTCCCGAACATCAATTTCACAAATTCTTTCTTTACTCGAATTAATTGAACTATATTCTATCTCGCAAATCTTTATTTCTTCCACGATATATTTGTCGGAGAGATTGCGATCTAACAAGTATGTTAAACATATATCTTATTTGTTAGTTTTTAAATTTTAAAAGAGACTTTCTCTAGGATTATAAATAATAGGATTATAGGATTTATAAATCGTATTTAAAATTAGTCTTTTTTATATCGATCGCGATATGTATGATTTTATTCTTAATTTAAGTAACGTTCTTTTTTTATTTATAGTTCTAGCTTTAAATAGAATATAGCAATTAAATTAAATTAATGATTCACTAAAGAATTTTTTTTAATAAATATTTAAAAGTCAAACATTTTTTTTATTATGTTAAGTAATTTGTTACATAAAAAGCACAAAAATTAAATATATATTATAGTACATCAATCCTGTGAAAAAAGGTAAATAAATATTTATATAAGTCATAAGTAGTTCAGTTTTAACTTGAATATTGAAGATAACATGAGAATCCTGGTAAAATATTGAGAAATAAGAGGAATTTTCAAATACGAATTTCTGCGCTTATTTTTAATAATAATCAGATCAAAAAATGATTTATATATATATATATATATATATATATATATATATATAAATATAAGCATAATCAGATAACATGAATAAGATTGCAGTATTTCATTTTACATTTCTTTTATCAATAATTTTATTCCTTTCTCGAATTTTTTAAAAATTTTATATTAAAAACGCAATCGCTGGCTAATTTACAACTTTTTTTAGAAAGTAAATTGAATTAAATCAAAAAAGATTTTTAAAATGTTAAGATATATTTTTATCGATTAAATTCTTTTATATTTTCCCTCTCGCTGAATTGACTTCGTGATCAGAATTTGTCTTAATTCTAACTATTTGCAGTATTATAGCCGTTTAACGATGGCGATAGAACAGGTGGCCGTTTATGTTCGTATATAGAGCGTTACGTAATATGAATGCCGAATGCGATAGCGCATTTTAAGATATTGAACCCAGAAATTGCAAAATTCGCATAAAATTTTTTCACTCTCTTATTTCTCAATTCTTCACTAGGATTCTCATAAATGTTATCTTCAATATTTCAATGTTATCTTCAATATTTCAATGTTATCTTCAATATTCAATTTGAAACTGAACTATTTATGACTTATGTAAATATTTATTTATCTTTTTTTCACGAGGTCGGTGCACTATAATATGTATTTTTTTTCTTGTGCTCTTTGTAACAAATTATATAACATTTTATGTATATCAATTTATGTTCATATGTAACATGATGCAAATAACGCAATCGAAGCTTTAAATGAGATTAATGTAATTAATCTCGACTTTATTAATCTGGATTATTCGCTGTTGTGTCAATAAATAACATTTTTGTGAAAAACAGATAATACTTAATGTCAAAGATTGAGATCAAGTTTAAATACTGACGCTCATCTAAAAAAAAATACAAATTACATAAAGATGGTATCCGAGATCTTTTCGTGTTAAATCTGAAGACATCGAAATTCGTGTCAAGTTTACCATCGAGCATGGTTTCGATCGAAATAAAGAAACCATGTATATCGATCGCAAGACAGAGAGATGTATGTCAACGTCGAGAATAACCTCGGGACGTATGTCAACCTCTAAAATATTTACCATGTCAAAATACACATTAATCAGCTATATAAATAACAAATAAAATTTCTTCACAATTACCTTATGAGAAAAATAAAATTGGAAACTTAAATTCATACTTGAAA